TTACCCCGAGCACTCCCTTCACGATTCCCCGTGTCCTTTTATTTCGTCACTTCGATGCTCGTTGTGCAACCGATTCGCCCTTTATGACCGGTTCCAAAGCACCCGTGTGAAAAACAGAGAGAAAGAAAGAAAAAAAGAGAGAGAAAGAGAGAGAGAGAGAGAGAGAGAGAGAGAGAGAGAGAAGTGACCAAAAAAATAATTATTCGTCAAATTGAAAATAATATTAGAAAAGGAATATTAGAAAATTGTTAATTTGTTAAAGACGATTAAAATGTACGACAAAATGGGGGATGATATTTTATTATCGAACGAAGAAATTGATTTATTGTCATCGATAATTAGATAGAAATGATCGACGGCACGTCCGAAGGATATGATCAACAAAGTATTTAACAAGAAATAAATGAGATAAATCATTTTGATTGTCATATTAAAAATAATATGCGAAAATTTTCTATTGGAAAATTGTAAATCGATGATTAAAGGTGATATTAGAGATACGATAAAGAGAAAAAAAAAGAATCCCATTGGAAATAAAATAAGAAACGATATTTGATAATCGTTAATTTGTTTTAGACGATTATAGGTTACGATAAAAAGAGAAACAGTGATCATTTTCCAATCGGTGAAATTGATTTGTGAGATCGATAATTAATGGAAATGGTTCACATCCGAGGCTACTTCCAAGTACGACGACAAGATTTCCCAAAGATTACTAACCACTTGATCTACGCTTTCCAGTGAACGAACTTTCCCGCGTTAAGAATCGATTCGAGAGTTATATTTCTTTTGGGAGATCGATTTCCCCCCCGTGTAATGCGTATACATACGTGTCTTCTATGGGATTTTATCGATTTTGGATGAAACGATTTTTATCTAAGAAAAAAAAAAAAAGAAAAAAAAAGAAAAAAAAAGAAAAGAAAAGAAAAAATTACTACATCGTATTTTCGTTCTTTCAAAGAAAATCTAAGGAGTTTGTAATATAATCGTAATTCGTAATGCTATAATAATAATAAATAATAATTAATATTAATTTATACCGATTTAAGTAGGAATCCTTCGGTCGTTCTTAGACACCAATTTTTCGTACACTAAACTTGTCATCAACCGTAGAAATTCATATACACGTAAACAATGAAATCACGCTCGATCGAACTTATCGAAGATCGAAAATCGACACACGTTAGAGTTTCGTTCGGTCACGTCGACGGCGTAGAAATGCGCGAAAACTATCTACTCTGTTCCATTCCTTCTCGTCGTTCTCGAAGCCAAGAATAAACTGGCTTGGACCCCACCACGGAAACCACCTTCTATCTTTTAACTACATTTACAACCCTATATTTTTCTCATTATATATATATATATATATATATATATATATATATATCACATATAAATATTTGATAATTTTCATTATGCTTTATTGTGAAAAAAAAAACAAGTAACTGTTTTATTTTTTTATTTATTACCTTTTTTTCTTTTTATTTTTCTCTTTCTATGAAATTATTCTCTTGTAAAAAAAATGTAATATTTTATAGAAGGGAATGTAAATACTTCTTTTTTCTTTTTTTTTTTTTTCCTTTCTTTTCAATTTCAAATTGTCCAATATTATATAAAAGGGAATATAATTGTTTTTTCTTTTTTTTTTTTTTTTTTTTCTTTTTCGTTATAAAATTTTCTCTCCTCTCTTTTATAAAATATTAATTTTTTTTTTGTCCAAAAAAATTATTTCGTATAAAAAAGATAATATTTTACATAAGAGAAAATGTTACTATTGTTTCTTTTTTCTGTTTTCTTCTTTTTCTTTTTTTTAATAAAATTATCTTCTCCCTTGTAAAATATTATCTCTTTTCTTTCCTATAAAATTATATTCTACTATGTTCAATAATATATAGAAAAAAGAATTTAGGATTTTTAAATTTAGTCGTCTACAAAATATTAATATATATTTTTGTTTTGTTATAAAATACGATGTTACTAATTATCTTCTATGTGCATCTTCATTTTATTACTTCTAATTTAAGATACAAAGAGATCGATAGTATAACGATAATAATGATACTTATTTTGTTAATAAAAAAAAGAGAGAGACAGAGAGAGAGAGAGAGAGAGAGAGAGAAAAGAACGAAACGAAACAAAACAATAATAAGAAATAATAATAATCAATGAAAAGAAAAGAATAATAATCAATCGAAGAAAGACTTGTGTATGATTTTATAGTAAACGTTTCATACGAAGGAAGTAACACAAACGTCGGCTTTGCTTTCCTTCTGTTTGCCCTTCATTCGAGAAACGTGATGTTAATTTTAGACTTGTACGTTTCCATACGTTCTATTTCTCTTTTTCTTTTCATATATATCCTCTTCGTTTTCTATTCTTCGATCGGTTAATCTCTCTACGAGAGAAGAGAATACTTTTAAAACGTATTCATTGTTTCTCACATTCTAAGAGGAATATCGATTTGGCTAAAGCAGATGTTACTTTTTCATTCAAATCTATTATCGAAAAAGTATAGAGAAATGTCGTTAGATTTTTATCTAAATTAACGCATTCTAAGTTTATGCGAGTGAGTAAATAGACGAATCAAAAAAAAAAAAAAAGAAAAAAAAAGAAAAAAAAGAAAAAAAACCAGTAAATTACCGATTCGTAAAGAAGCACTTTAAAAGATTTAACAGAAGCGTTCAAGTTGAATCGATTGAATTATTGACAATGGGATTAACTCTATATAGAATAGAAAAACGTGACAATAATTATACCTTTCATCGACGAGATAAAAGATGAATGAACGAATTGGATTCGAAGAAAATAACAAATTTATCCTTTGCAATGGAACATAGGAATCTCGGATATAAAATGTTAAAATTCAATATTTGAAAAATAAAGTACGTAGGGAAGAAAAATTTTATATTATAATGATTAATTTTGTTGGACGACTTTAGATTTACTATAAAGAAGAAGTGAAGTCTCTCTTTTCTTCGGGCTCAGTGAAAGGTTGAAATTGATTTCAACTTGGTCACACCCCAAAGTAAAAGTTGGTCAAAGGGTCGAGTTATCGAGTGGATGGTGAATGGGGATGGGGGATTGGAATGGGGTAGGGGAGAAGAGGGGGGTGATAAGAGATGGGGATGGATCGGATCGACCATCGGACGTTGTCGTGGTTATATGCTATCCGATCGGCCTAGCCTATCTTCTTCGTGCATCTATCCCCGTAACACCCTAATCTCCCCCGCTTCGCCTACTCCATCGTCCTTCTCATCCTCTTTCCCAACTTCGACCCCTTCAACGCTCATCACTTTTCCTCGCCACTTCCATCAGAACTTATTCGCAGCTTCTCCCTTCTTCTATCTGCTTTTATCCACCTTTTTCCCCTTCCTCTTTTGACCTCACACACAGAGTCCTCTTTATCGTTCTTGATGTTTCCCATTTATCTCGTTCATTTCTCTCTCTCTCTCTCTCTCTCTCTCTCTCTCTCTCGTTTCTTTCTATGTATCGTTACGAACAATTTCGATTTAACATCGTGACCAATTATAGATCTTCCTTTTATTGAAAATCCTTCCTATTATTATTTAATATATATCTCTTCGATTGCAATCTCTTTCTCTCTCTCTCTCTTTCTCTAACACATATACACACTCACATATTCACAGAGCGAGAGAGAGAAAGAGAGGGAGGAGAGAGAGAGAGAGAGAGAGAGAGAGAGAGAGAAGAACATATATTTTTTCCTTTTTTTGTTATATTGTCGAAATAATAGTCATACATCACTACGAGATGACAATTCAATTTGTAAAGTTGATTCGAAATTGTAGAGATGAAGAAAAAAAAGAACAAAATAAACGATAAATAAATAAAAAAAAAAAAAAAAAAAAAAAAAAAAAGACAACAATAACAAAACAATTGGAGAACGAGGAGTGAACGTACCAATGACGTTAGAGAAAAGCCGCGTTAAATACGAACACGAAGCACGTTCGAGGTCGGACATAAGATTGACGCGAAGCCAAGATCGCGAATCGAGATCGTTCGAGAGATCGAGCATACATCGAGTTTCTAGTTTCTTTTTTTTTTCTCATCTCTTTTCTCTTGTTCTCTTTCTATTTTTTTTTCTTTTTTCTTTTTTTCTTTCGTTCGTTTTTTTCTTCCCCCCTTGATTTTTCTTTTAAGCGGTAACGTTCCGAACGATGCTTCATAATATTATTATAGATTACAAATGAAACGCGAAATAATATATGAGAAATTATGGCGAAACACCATAGAAAGACCTTGTCTATTTATTGGTTCGACCTTTGGATTTATTTCGAGTTGACTATTGCCGCATTGTCGCGAGGAACCTGCCATCCGTCTTTTCTCTCTTTCTATCTTTCTCTTCCTCTCTCTCTCTCTTTCTCTCTCTTTTTTTTCTCTTTCTCTTTTTCTCTTTCTGCTTGGCAAAACGTATTTCCGGCAGCATTAGTCAGCCGTTCTAAATGCACTGTGCTAACTACGTTTTCGACGTTCTTCGTTTATCTTTCGTTCTAAACTCCTTACCTCCCCCACTCACTCCCTCTATTTCCCTTTCTCTCTCTCTCTCTCTCTCTCTCTCTCTCTCTCTTTCTCTTTCTCTTTCTCTTTCGATGTTGCGCCAAGTCTTATTTCTGACCAGCCCTTCTTTTCGTTGGATCGAGGTTAATTGGACACCATTAAGTCGCCGAAAATTATTATAAATTTGTTCGCGACGATTGAGTTTTGTATGTCACTCGTGTTAAAAAAAATTATCATCATCATCATCATCATCATCATCATCAATTTTTATTAAGATCGATCTTCTTCACTTAAGTTAATGTAACCATATTAAAATGCTTTTTAATTTTATTTATCTATCAAAGATAATTCAAACTGTCTTGCGTATTAATCGAAGAAGTCGGAGTCGAGGTAAGAGGAAGGAGAAAAAGAAAAAGAGGGGGAAAGAAAAAAACAAAAGAAAGAAAGAAAGAAAGAGGAAAAAAAAGGACAAAATGCTTGCTTACCGTCATCGCTTATCTCGAGATTCGTGTAGCTGTCCCAATGGAGGATGGGATCGTGATGAGCCGAGGCATGAGGCACAGCGGGTGTTGGTGCTGGAATTGGGCCATCCTGACGTTTCGCATCGGTTGCGAAGTAAAGGGTCACAACACTATCGGGTGGACATCGTGGATCTTCGCATGCAACGTCAAGTTCCGAACGGGGAAATGACACAACGTTTTCTGTGATGACGCACGTGTGGAACTAGAAATACAATTCGTATTCGTTGTATAATATTTATATCTACATACATACATATGTATGCACATGTACATATGTATAAATGTATGCACATGTACATATATGTATATATATATATATATATATATATGTACAATACGATTAGGTTCCCATCATTCTATTGTTCATTTATGTCTTTTCTTTTTTTTTTCTTTTTTTTTTTTTCCTTTCTTTCTTATATCTCTTCATTTATATTTTTTTTTCTCTTCTACAAACGTATTATTTCTCTCATAAAATTCTGAAGGCCGTTCATATCAATAATAGCTTTTTATAGCTAGACGATACGTCTAGTAATCATAGAAAATAATATAAAAAGATATTATAATTGTTCTTATTTTTATCTCATTTGTTCTAACATTATATTCCTTACCTGTAGCGAGAACATTACTTCTCGGCTTTGTTTGGAATATACCCTATGATAACATTTCACGAGAATGTCTCCTCTCAAGCGAAGACCACCGAGATTAACCGTGAACTCACGAGCATTCGTCACCGAGTACAAATCCGATGTGTAAACGGGCGTCAATCCTTCGTAGACTTTGAGGAACGCTCGACATCCGGTAGGCTCGAAGAGTGGCACTCCGAGTACCGTGAGGTGTGTCAAGTAAAGAGGAGATTGACTGATTCTCAATGACCCAGACAATAATCCACTGAAGTACTCTATGTATCTATAATTGACAATACGATGATACATTATTAATATTAAAATTCAATAAAATGTTCATACATTTTCATTTTATTTAATTATAATATTTAATATAATATAATATTAGATATTACGTATGTATATTTAGATGTAAGATCGTACGTTATCATTTATTTAGATGATTTATGGAAAAATAATTTAGATCTTGACGAGATATTTTCAATTGAATTCTTTTGTTCAATATTACGAGAGCTCAGTATCTTTTGGTATCACCCGGTATAAGGTAATAAATTAAATCGTGATTTTACTGCTTTCAAAACAAGAAGAGAAAGAAGGTGAGTGTACTTTTTGATACATTATTATGTACATTTTTATCTATAGGGTGGGTTAAAAGTTTCAAGACGATTCTTGAAAATTAATTACACTTTTTTCAAGACTTTTTGGGATAATTTTCTTTCTTTTTCTTTATACTTTTCTTTTTCTTTTTTCTTCTCACTCGGATCAATAAAATTACGAGCCTAGGGACTCTTCTGATGCATTTAAAAACATTTGGCCGACTCTCCATAAGGAAGTTAATTAAATTGTTATTTTCCTGCTTTCGAAACAAGGGAAGAAAGAAAGAAAAGAAAGACAAGAGAGAGAGAGCGAGAGAGAGAGAGAGAGAGAGAGAGAGAGAGAGAGAAAGAGAGAGATAAACCTACTTTTTGATTTATTACGTCTACGTAAATACAAGGTTGGCCGAAAGTTTCAAGGTAATTTCTCCAAATCAATTACACTTTTTTTTAAAGACTTTTCAGGCTAATTCTTTTTGTCCATATTTTAAAACTACGAACGTAGGAACATTCTGACCCATCTAAAAACTTTTGGCCAACCATGTATAAGGAAGTAAATTAAATTGTTGTTCTCCTGCTTTCGAAACAAGGACGCAGAGAGAGAAAGAGAGAGAGAGAGAGAGCGCGCGCGAGAGAGAGAGAAAGAGAGAGAGATAAGAAAAAAAGCGAGAGAGAGAGAGAGAGAGAGAGAGAGAGAGAAAGAGATAGGTAAATGTACTCTACTCTACTCTAATCTACTCTACTCTACTCTACTCTACTCTACTCTACTCTACTCTCTCGTAGATCTCGATAATAGAATAACACGCTCGTGAAAGCACAAGCATCGCTAACGACATGCTAATGCTTGCGGCTCGTGTAATTAAGGGTGAAACTCGATGCCATGGAATCATGTTGGGATCGAAAAAGAAGATCGAACGATCTTGGCAGGATGTGAAATAAGGATGAACGAGACAGGACATTACTCTCTCTTTTTTTTTTCTTTCTTTATCTCTCTCTCTCTCTCTCTCTCTCTCTCTCTCTCTCTCTCTCTCTCTCTCTCGGTTATATTATAAATAGATATCACCTCGTAGTACAATGAACTTGATAGAAAAAAATAATGACGATGACAACGTAATGTGAATGATAACGTAAAATGATAAAAAAAAAAAAAAAGCACGATTATTACGTTGTAATTTACAAGGAAATATAACGTTCCTATTAAAATAAATAAAATAAATAAAAAAAAGATTTTTTTATTGTTATTATTATTATTATTATTATTATTTATTATTATTATTATTATTATTATTATTATTATTATTGTTGTTGTTATTATTATTATTATTTAAAAAGAAATAATGGGAAAAGAATAACAAAATCAAACCATAGCGAAATTATTACTTAGCTCCGTAAACACGTTAATCGATGATATTTCTCCATTATCTCGTTAACAATGTTATAATGAAAGTATAATGGAGGTTACTGAATCACGTATACATTTACGTACCATGTAATAATGGAATAACCGAGCATATTATTCTTCTCGCGGCTAATCGCGTTACGAAAATTACTCAAGATTGCTTGTAACAATACGTTCATTGAAATAAGTGCATTCAAGATATACAAACTGGTAATAACTATTTATATATATATATATATATATATATATATATATATATATATATGTTTAGTTTCAATAACATTATATATTTTAAATGTATTTATATGTACTTATTTATGTATGTGTATAAGTATGTACATATAAGATCATTTAACTATAAACTACAAGAATATACAGATTATTTTAATTAATTCATATCTCTCCTTGATTTCTAACGTTACTCTTCGTTTAGTTAATACATATTAACGATTCTCTCTCTCTCTCTCTCTCTCTCTCTCTCTCTCTATCTCTCTCTATTTCTCCTTCTCGTTTAATAGTCATAACTGTTAATTGAATTCTAGGCTATGCATTTCCATAAACCGTATATTCGTAGGTACGTGTTACATTACAAACGTAGGACCATAAACTATTACAGAAGAGACCCGATATGTAGAGGTGTGAAGATATATATATATATATATATATAAGTTTTAACAGGAAGGACAACATTGAAGAAACGTTAAACACGTCGTACGAGAGAACGTTATGATCGTGGTTCATTAAAGTTGTTACGTACAGGCCTTTACACGCGGAGACGATGAAAATGATGATGATGATGATAAAGATGATAATGATGATCCACTATCATGACGTGGGTCAATGTGATGTATAATATGGTTATGAAACCGGACGATGGATATGAATCGTCAAGGACCCAACCAAATCTCTCTCTCTCTCTCTCTCTTTCTCTCTCTCTCTCTCTTTTTATCACTCTTTATCTACAGTTAATCAAAATATACGTTTTCATAAACATCTGATTTTCAATGTAAATTTCATTATAATGCAAATCGTTCTCAATTTACAGCCAATTATATTATGTATATCATTGAACTGTTGTTCTTTCTTTTTTTTGCTTTTTGTTTTTTCTTTTTCTTTCTTTCTCCCATTTGTTTTCTCTCTCTCTCCTTTACCGTTCTTTTTTCTTTTTCTTTTCTTTTTTTCCTTTTTTTTTTTTCCTTTTTTTTCTTTCTTATTTCAATTTTCCTTCTCTTCATAATCATTCGTCCGATTGTTTTCTATTTATCATCTTACATTGACCATCATGACGGCGTTTAAACGATCAAATAGATACGAAGCGTAGCGACGCGACGCGACGCGACACGACGTTATTAGAATTTTTCATTTCCATGATTAGAATTCGATGTTTATAACGACGTTTGAATTTAAATCAACGGTTTATATAGGATTAAGAGTGTCTCGTCAAATGGTATAAGAATTTTATTATCTTATTTCGCGACAATGTATAGAATATAGAAATATATATATATATATATATATATATATATTGTGTGTGTGTGTGTGTGTGTAGTGTATTTGTTTGGTAAAAACTATAACGGAATATAGTTTAAGGTTTGAAAACGACGTTAAGAAAGTCTTTCAGAATATATCCATCCAACCGAGATGGAGCCACGCCTACGCCATGGGACAAAGTTTATGGCGTTATCTGAATTATTCGAGATGAGGATGTACGATAAAATGAATTTTCTCGTCGTACGTCAACAGGTAGTATAACGTCGTTGTAACCGTTCTCTGTCGTTGCCTGTAAAGCCGTTACCTTCGATGTGATGGAACTTGCAGCGATCCGATCTTGTCATCGAGGAATCTTCTCATTGCGAACCTGTCCAAGGCTTGATCGCGTCCACCGCAGATGCTGCTGTAATTCATGTAAGCCGAGACCGCCACACCCAATCGTTCCTTGTTACCCCTTTTGTACGTTCGTTCGTTCGTCATTCGTTCGTTCGTTCGTTCGTTCGTTCGTTCGTTCGTTCGTGTTTGTTTGTTTTTTTTTGTTTTTTTTGTTTTTTTTTTTGAAAAAGACACCAAAGTTAATTAGATTTAATTCAAGTTCAATTTGGTTTGATTAATTGAAAATTTTTTTTTTCTCTATTTCCTTTTTCTTTTTTTCTTTTTTTTTTTTCTTTCTTTTTTTTTTCGTTTTTCTTTCAAACGATAAAGACGACTAATAATATAAAAAGGATAATCACCTTGCGTGTAAAACAACTACACGATTTGGAACACCGTTTAACCAGGAGTCCAGCTCCTTGCAAAGGGCGCATAATCTTTCCAAACTTGGTGCCAAACCTTGAGGCCATCCGGCTTCTCTTGTATTCGATTCACCTGCTCGTCCTGGCGATGATAGATTGAATATCTGCGAGTTTGTTGGAAAAGGAAAAAAAAGAAAAAAAAAAAGAAATATATATATATACACGTATATAAATATATGCAAAAAAGGAAATAGAAATTATACGATGTTAGACGACGAGACGATGATGGATTTGTTTTTTTCTTTTTTAACGATTAACCTCGTACGTTCAATTGCGTGGTATTTTTTTTTTTTTATATGAAAAACAAATTTTTATTCTCGCCAAAAAGAAAAAGGAAATATTCTCCTTCTTTTATATATATATATATATTTTTTTTTTAAATCAATCCAATCACACAAAAAGAACATTTTTATTTAGAAATTCACTTGTATAGATTGTTTGTGAAGAAAAATATTTTTATTTACAAAAAAAAAAAAAAAAAAAAAAAAAACAGAAAAAGAAAAAGGAAAAGAAGAAAACAAAAAAATACGAATGACAATGTGTTAAAATAAAATAAAAAAAAGAAAAAAAAGTATAAGATGTTTACCATATAATTATCGGCATGTTTGCCCCTTAAAAGGGTTGTCGCATGTTCCAAAACACCTTGTGCATCTTCTCGATACCAAAGAGCGATTATCCTTTCCGTGACGTAACATAATTCCATTACTTCCGTGACCCTTCCACCGACGCCCTTTCCCACATCGACGGCAGACGAATCCGCGCCGACGCCAGGCGTCCTCGCGGGCGTCACCGACGATTGTACACCTTGTACCTGTAACACGTCATTTTTATAATCTTCATCGATGAATATCGACATTATTTCTCTTTTACGTTTTAATTTATATTCGAACATTTTTCTCACGCTCGTAATTATGTAAAGAAAAAAAAAAAAAAAAAAAAAGAACACACACGTCCGTCTTGAAAAATGACAGCGCTTGGTAGATAACTTAAAATTACATTTTCTTTTTAAATCTTTCGATTAATTCATATTTTATTTTATATTTATTATATTTATACACACACATATATATATATATATATATATGTTTTTTTTTTTGTAAATATTAAACGTACCACGCGAATTCTTTTTTTCCTTTCTCTCTCTCTCTCTCTTTCTTTTTTTCTTCGACATATATTTTCACATTCGAAATACACGAGCACTGATAGAAATCGAACGAAACACAATTTATTTTCTCACTGTAAAATGTGTCATCTTGATAGTATTCCGAAGATATAGTGGATTTATAAATCAAAATAAAAAAAAAGAAAAAAGAAAAAGAAAGAAAGAAATCAATTTATCAATGATCCTTTTTCTTTTTTTCTTTTTTTTTTTTTTTTTATTAGAAGAATACCATCAATGAAAATTTTCTCGTAAACGCTTTTTACTCACGTAAAGACCATACATCGTAATAATACAATTTTACACTATATATATATATATATCAACGATAGATTTTTTTCTATGACGTTTTTATCACCTTTGTATATTTGGGTGCGTAAAAGATCCTAACGACGTAGCACTGCCGCATGACGTCGGATTTATGATATCACGATAAGTAGACATGTAATCCAGTTCCAGGAGTCCTAACGAGAACTTTACTATGTTCGTCTCATTTTTCTTCTCTCTGTTTTCTTCTTCCTCTGTTGTTTTCCTTTTTTCTTTTTTTTTCTCTCTTTTTTTTTTTTTTCTCGTAAGGAATAATAATAGAAGGAGTAATAAGAGAGTAGATAAAGAGGAAAAAGGACGGTGAAAGGCTTCGAGGGAAGAAAACAAAAAAACAAAAACAAAACGGTTTAGAAAAGATAGAAAGGGATAGAAAGATGGAGAGATAAAGATAAGAGAGAAAGAGAAAGAAAGAGAGATAGAAGTAGAGATAGGAGGATGATGGGACCGCGTTCCTCGACGCACTGTCGAGTATTGTATTTCGCCTGGTTCTACGAGATAGGAGTACGCGCGAGAATTATGCAGCTACAGATTACGAGCTTCATAGTCATAGTCGTAGTTCGTAATCGTAGTCGTAGTTGTTACGGTCATATAGTATGGAGACGTCTTTAGACTTCGAGTTCGCTCGTATACATTTTAACTTTGACACAATTGTATGCGTGTATCTTTCCTTGTATACGTTCTACGTATATATGTATATATATATATATGTACGTGTATATATGTATAAGTTTATTATAAGTGCATAATATCGTCTTGACATTATGTATGCGTTTAGTTCGTCCTCGGTTGGTACATATTCGCGTATGACGTAACGAATTCGCGCAGGTAGCGTGACTTCTCGTAACGAGCATAGAGCGTGACTTAGAAATAGATAGATATGTGTAATGTATATATATATATATATATATATATATGTATGTATGTATATGTGTATATGCACGTGGTTATACATGCATCGATATGATTATCTTTATTTCTTTTTTCAATATATTTAAATTGCATGGTAAGAAACTTCTATCGATATCTTCGGAATGTGTCATAATTGTTTTTTTTTTGTTTTTTTTGTTTTTTTTTTTTT